ACGCCGGCAGTGTGGGCGCGGGCGGCGCCAAGCTGCCCCACCAGAGACTCGGCTGCACCGCCGCCGTGTCGCCCAGCTTCCAGCAGCACTGCGTGGCCTCGCTGACCACCAAGGCCTCCTCCCAGTAGCCACGGAGCCCAGGACCCAGAGGGGCGGGCGGGCCTCGGAGCACCCGCGCAGGGCAGCGGCTCCCCGCGGTGACGCTACTACTTAAGAATTCCCAATGATCTGATTCTTTTTTTTTTTTAACCTGATTTTCTGATGTCATGATGGAGAGGGGGCGGGTGGGAAGGGGAGAGGAAAGAGAGCCCCAAGGGGTCCAGCCTCCTGGGAATGGGGCAGCCCACCTGATGCCTGCTGTGCAGATCTCTTCACTGGGTTTACACACGCTGTGTTCTCAACACTAGGCCTGAGTGTGGGGGTGATTGCTGTGTGTGTGTGCGCACGCGTCTCTGTGTACATTCGTGCATGTGTGTGCACATGTGCCTGAGTGTGCATGCACATGTGTGTGAACGTGTGGCAGGGTCATGTGCGTGCACACACGTGGGTGTGCATGTGTCAGAGGGTGTCCCCGAGTGTGCACACATGTGTCTTGGGTGCGTGCACGCGCACATGTGTGCACATGTCAGAGCATGTGTTACCTGAGTGTGTGCATGCGTGTATCACACATGTGTGCGTGTGGCTGAGCGTGCGCATTTGTGTACATGCGCGTGTGTCTGTGTGCAAACCTATGTGTGCCAACGCATGTCTGAGTGTTGTGTGCATGTGTATACATGTCTGAGTGTCATATGTGCACGGTGTGCATGTGTCCAAGTGTGCATGTGTCGGTTTGCATGTGTGTGTATGTGGCTGCGTGTGTGTGTGCGTGTGACTGAGTGTGTGTCTGGGTGTGTGTGTGCTCACGTGTCTGAGTGTGCATATGTGTGTGCACGTCTGAATGTGTGTTGTGTGCGTGTGTCTGAGTGTGTGCGTGTGTGTACACATGCCTGAGTGCATGTGTCTGAGTGCACGTCTGAGTGTGTGTGCATATGTCTGAGTGTGCACACGTGTGTGCACGTGGCAGTGTGTTGTGTGTGCATGTGTGTGTGACTGAGTATGTGCATGTGTGTGCGCATGTGCCTGAGTGCATGTGTCTGAGTGTGTACGTGTGCATGCACATGTCTGCGTGTGCATGTGTCTCTGTGTACACATGTGTGTGCACGTGGCAGGATGTGTTGCATGTGTGTGTGTGGGCGTGTGCACGTGTGTGCATAAATGCCTGTGTGTGCCTGAGTGTGTGCGTGTGTGAACGTGTCCAAGTGTGGTGTGCGTGTATGTGCACATGGTGGAGTGTCGTGTGTGCATGTGTGTGTGTCTGAGTATGTGCATGTGTGTGCGCATGTGCCTGAGTGTGTGTGTCTGAGTGTGTGCATGTGCATGCACATGTCTGCGTATGCATGTGTCTCTGTGCACATGTGTGTGCACGTGGCAGGGTGTGTTGTGTGTGTGTGCGTGTGTCTGGGCGTGTGCACGTGTGTGCATAAGTGCCTGTGTGTGCCTGAGTGTGTGTGTGTGGACGTGTCCGAGTGTGGTGTGTGTGTGTGTGCACACGGCGGAGTGTGTTGCATGTGCTTGTGTCTGGGCGTGTGCACGCGTGTGCATAAGTGCCTGTGTGTGCGTGTGTGCGTGTGTAAGCATGTCCGAGTGTGGCATGCGTGTGTGTGCCGTGGCTGAGTGTGCGCACGCGTGCTTGTGCCACGGCTTTGTTTTGATGGCTGCTGTGGGCCAGGCCTCGGGCCCCTGGAGGGCTCCCGCCGTGTC